TATATATATATATGTATCTATGTGTGTATACATATATATATATATATATATACATAAATTAACAAAATAGAGTCTCTAAAACCTGAGTTTCTGTTTCCTTTATAAAACTAGGGACAAAAGAAAAGTAAAAATTCATATATAAGCCAAATGTGATGTCACACATCTCTGATCCTAGCACTTGGAAGGCAGAGGCAGGAGTTCAAAGCTTTGCTTGGCTCCAGTGAGATCAAGGCCAGCCTATGTTCTATGAGAGCCTACATCAAAAAAATCAAACCAGAAAAAAGGCAAGAGTTGAGATGGGCATAGTGGCACATGCCTACAGTCCCAGCACTTGAGAAGCAGAAGCAAAACTGCTACAAATCAAAGTTAGCATGGTCTATATAGGGAGTTCCAGGCCAGCCAGGGCTGTCTGGTGAGGCCCTCTCTCAAAAAACACCATCCCCATATTTATTTAAAAAAAAAAAAGAAAAGCCAAGATAGGACTAGATGCCTAAAAATACTGTTAAATATTCCAAAGCAGTTCTTCACCCTACACAGTAAGTCTAAGAAAGAAATACTCTTGCAGATTTTATATTTCATTCTACCCCCAAAACAGCTTCTCACTGTGCTCAGAAGGAAACAAACTCCTAAATATGGCTTCCAATAAGCAAGTCCTATTAGAGTTGCCCTTCGTTTTCTTCACCACAGACCTCTCAGCCAGATTTCCAGGCTTCAGCCAAGGCTACAACTCCCACTCCATCCAAGCTCTTTCCTCTTCCATACGTACACTTGGCATGGGTGACTCCATCTTCACATTTCAAAGTTTAAATGCCACTTCCTTAGAATGAGGTTCCCACAACACCTACTCTCCCATAATTGCCCCATTCCTTCTCAGGCCTTATCACTTTTACTATGCATGTGAGTGTCTAATTGTAGGTCCTTTAAATTCCATGTGGTTACAGGCCACATTCGTGTGGCTTACTACTACAGTTCATAGCCTGGCAAAGCCTGAATGAAATATAAAACACAGTAAACATCCAATCTACTATCCATTCAAAGCAGTAACAGCCTTTTTGCAATTCCTCATTACATACCTTTACAACTACATTCTCTATCAAATTAACCTAGTTTGCCCCTAGTACCTGCAAATTACACAAAAATGAGAGGATTTCAATCTGTAAATAACCAATCTGCATTTTGTCTATTTCTTATTTCCACAACTTCATTCTTAATTTTCTTTCACCATCTTGTCTTGACTTACATTCTTTCTTCTCTTATCCTATTTGAAAATAACCCAATACACACTCAACTGTCTCTTTTTACTCTGCTTTATGCTTTCTTCAGTGAATGGCTTTAGTAAACCATGCTTTTAATCCTACAAGAATATTTCCCAGCCAAGATTTCCATTCTTCAGTCCCATCTTTGTTATCATCATTACTTCTTCCTTATCAAATACAGATTAAAACCTGTAGTCACCTCAGCTCTCACAGCTTCACTTCCTTCCTTCCAATGCCACTCCCCTTAGGGAACTCAAGAAAAGCTACCTAGCCTTCTGGTATTTTTAACCACCCCCCCTTATCTATTCAATCTTTTTTTTTTTTTCTTTTTCCAATGCTGGGGAGCATACGCAAAGCCTCAAAAATGCAACTAAAGCACTCTACAACTGAACTATACCCCCAGCCATCTGTTTCTTATGAGGTCAAACTTAGGTCAAAGTGCTTCATCTCTAAATTCTATTATTTATACTTCACAGTCCAATATTCAACTAACCTACTCTGCTTTCCAAAGGTACAGATCTCAATCTTCTCTTGAATTTCTAGAACATTCATATTTCCATTGTTTTAAATATAGCAAAACTTCCAGACTTCCAGACTTTAACAGTCCAGAATTGTATAAATTATCTTCATTTTTAATTTGTTTATATATGTTAATAAACAGACTGTGATGTGGTACCAAATAAAACACAAACATTCGGGGCTGGAGAGATAGCTCAGCAGTTAAGAGTACTTGCTGCTCTTGCAGAGGACCCAGGCTCAATTCCCGGCACCCACATGGTGGCTAACAACTGTAACTCCAGTTCCAAGGGATCTGACACCCTCTTCTGGCCTCTGTAGGCACTACAAAATATGGGTGCACTTACATCCATATGTAGGCAACACACTCATATAGATAAAATTAAAATTTTTTTTTTAAATATAAACATTCTTCAGATCAGTATTCCACAGGACTGAAGGAAATAACCAGCTTTACCTGAAACATGTTGTCATCTCTGCTGCTGCTACTCTGCTTGGAAGAGGCCAAAGCTCTTGAAGTTTCACCAGGCTTTTGTTTCTTTACAGGTTTTTCTGGAGCAACTTGCTTTTTCCTCTTTAACTTCAAAGAAAAGGCAAGAATATACCCATATAAATAACAAACACATGACATTCATCAATTGAAGACTTGAAGCGTCAGAAGAACTTATCGATTCATTAAAAGGAAAACCCTGAGTATATTTATAGGACATAACCATCTAACCTGCACTTAACAACATTCTATTTCTCAGGATCCCCAAAGATACCTCAAACATTAGAAGAGCAGTGATTTTGTGGACTCGAAACCACATAAGATTTCATTGGAAGGAAAAAAGAAAACAGCTCACTATTTTTGAATAAAATTTTGAAAACAAGTCTACTAAAAGCTAGTCTTTTCTTTTTTTACCCAAGCACTGTGGCACACAGCTATAATCTTAACTGAGGCTGAAGGAGGAGGATCATGAGTTTGAGAGCAATGTGGGCTATACAAAAACTCTGTTTCAAAAAGCAAACAATCAAAACCAACTTCTTCTAAAACATGAATATTTATTAACGCCTTGCCTATTCCAAAAGGAATTTGAACTGTTTTCAAGCATGTTTGCTTAGACAAAGGCAAAGAGTTATTTTACACCAGGAACTGGGAGGCAATTCAAAAAGTTCAGCACAACAAATTAACTAAAGACAGGCAATACTATAAGACCAGCATTCAAATTCAGAATACTCCTTTCAAAGTAGCACTACTATAAAGTTTTCTAGAGCCTCATTCTCAAAATGTGCTACCAGTTCATAAAAACTACAAAAGTTCCCAACCCAAACAATAGAGGGCAGTCAAGTTCCTTAGTGGAAAAGTATAAATTAGTATTTTAATGTTACTAAATTTACCATGTCAATTAGATAAGTAAACCATGAAATGAAAAGCATGGATGTATTTAATGTAAATGCTTACAGGATTAATAGTATTATGAAAGGAACTGCAAAAAAAATCAGCTTAACAAGCAGAAGGCAATTCTGTGGACTGGTGCATGGCTGGCAAATAAAAACCTAAATTCAGGGGTGGGAGAGATGGCTCAGCGGTTAAGAACACTGACTGCTCTTGCAGAAGGCCTGGGTTTAGATCCTAGCACCCACATGGCAGCTAACAACTGTCCGTAACTCCAGTTCTAGGGGATCCGGCAGCTTCTTCTGTCCTCTGCAGGCATTTCACGACACACAGGGTGCACTTATCTACACGCAGGCAATACACGCATACACATAATTTTTTTTTTAATTTTTTTAAAAACCTAAATACAAATTTCCCTATAAACACACTTGGATATTACACTGATACACATTTTAAAGAGCTCTCCTAAGATGTTACACTGATACACATTTTAAAGAGCTCTCCTAAGTGTGTCTATGTACGTTTTTGAAGCCTTATTTCAACCTTACAGGTGATACTATGTTCTATATTGACATTTACTGGTTCCAACTTGCCCAAAATTTTCCCATAAAAGCTCCCTTTTTTGTTAGGTAGTAGTACTGATTTTAGGAAGCAAAAAAAAAAAAAGACGAGGGTCGCTTTTTTTTAAAAATCAGCATCTTATGTATCCCAGGTGACACTGAACTTCTGATCCTGCTTCCACCTCCAGAGTGGTGGGATTACTGGCCTGCACCACCATGCAGGGTTTATGCAGTACTCGGGATGGAGCTTTTTGCATGCTCAACTCTACCAATTTGAGCTTGCACATCACCAGTCCTGCCTGCTGTTACTCAAAAATAAACTTTTAGAAATCGCAGGTCTAACAACTATATTTTCATGAAGCAGATAAACTAATGAGGAATAACACAACTTAATCCACTTCTAGGATAAATTATATCAAGATATAGCTATATGTGGAAGGAAGTCTTGACCACAGGATGAGCTGCTCAGTTATGTGTCACTGATGTGCTCAATTAGTGAAGGAAGCTTATAGAACAGTCATCACCAAATGGAGAAAAAGCCTATTCTGACAAAATGGGCAATTTCACGTTAGCTGTACTGAAGAATTTAACTAACAAGCAAATAACTTTCAAATTAAAATGTACCAAGACTAAAAGTCAGCAATGGGGGAAGCGGCAGTCACTGAGAAATCTGACAAAACCAAAACTTCAGTCATTTGGCTCATCAGCTACTACTTACTGACTAAAGATCAGGCAGGCTTTTAAAATTATTATTACTATGTGTGGAATATTCGTGATGTGTGTATTAGGCATATATACATATATATAAATCAACATAAGGATGGAGGTCAGAGACAACATTGTGGAGGCTCTATACTTTCACCTAGGGATCAAACTCAAGATTATTAATTATTAGGTTTGGTAGCAAAGGCCTTTACCCACTGAGCTGCCTCACCAGCCCAGATTAGACAGATTTTTAAATGACAACAGATTACTTAATAATGACAACGTCTTTGGTCTAATAAGGATTCCAGTCCTCTAGAGTCTAAGGAAGCGTTTCTGCAACCTTAGATTTCTAAAGGTGCTCAACTGAAGACCTATTTAGACTGAGCTGGGGCTGGTGGCACAGGCCTGTAATCTCAATACTCAGAAGATTGAGGCAAGAGAATGAAAGAGTTCCAAGGTCAGTCTGGACAATTTAGTGAGACCCTGTCTCAAATTTAAAAGAGGGCTGGGGATACAGCTCAATGGTATACTTGCATGGAACACACAGGGTCCCAGGTATAACTCCCAATACTGCAGAGACAGCCTGTTAAGCCTGATTTAAACCCCACAAGTGAGTTTGGAAAGGAGACTGTCTACTCAAGTGGTCATATGCCACCTATACTTTCAAAAATATTTTAATTTTAAATTCTCTTTTATATTTTCATTTAAATTCCCATTTTACATTCTCATTTTTACATTTGGAGCCCACACTGGTGGCACGTGCATAATCCCAGCCCTGAGGAGATCAAATACTGGAGGTAACTTGGGCTACAGAGCAAAACCTTGTCTTAAAAAAAAAAAGAACACTAATAGGCCTTTCACTATCCTTCAGAACTGGATGTTGGCAATATTGTTGAATTAAGCATCACAAACTTGGTACAGTAAATCACCTTTTTTTCAACTTCACTGTCAGAATCGCTGCCTGAAGAGCTCGAAGAAACAAGTTCCTTTGATTTAGGCATTCTGAAAGAAAAAAATACATGAATAATTTACAAGTTGCTCCACTACCTTCATCAGCATCTCTCTTTTCCAGTCAAAAACCAAATGGCTCATTCAGCCATTTTGTGGTAAGGAAGTTGTTACACTGAACACGTTTAAATTGCCAATAACAAGAGTGAACTATTCTGACCCCAGTAAAACAAAACAGTAAATGTCATCTGCACAGTCCTTCACCTCTTTCTCAAAGTCAACGTGTCTTTTAAAGGCTTAATTTTAGAGATTATGAAGTGTATGGGTAGACTGCAGGAAAACAGCTGAGAGCAAGTACTCTAAAATCAGAAGAAACATAAGCAGCTAGTCACCACTGCTTTACACATCACACTAGGATTAGACCTGATGTAGAATTACTCAAAGGACCAGCCCCCATGTAGGACAAACTGTACTATAAAAATGTGATAATCTAATTTATCTTGCCATTATTAATCATCCTTTATCCACTTTGTATACCCTAAAATTGCCTTTTGGGACAAAATAACAGGTACTAATTAGAGTTCACATTATTTATAATTCACAATATTTTGCACAGATTATTACTCTAGAATACAAATAAAATTTGAAAGATTTTATATGAAGGGTAAAACTCCATCTGACAGGGACACAGCTCAGAGCTTGATGTTTACTTATTCCTGAAAAAGCAAAGGGCAGACTGTCTTCATGTCTAAGCCCCAGATTTGAAGGAATACCAAGGCATGTTCTAACTTCCTAAGATACTTATACCAGGTGGTAACACCAGGTAGCAAAATGCTAATTATCAAACTGTCTTTTGCTCTCTCCATCTCATTAAGAGACTAATTTCCGTTTGACTCTAATAAACACAATGTATTCTGTAAATGTTGAATAAAAGACTTTAATTTCTCCTCACACCCTACCACACTAAAAGTACAATCGACATCAAAAAAAAAAAAAAAATGCTCTCTAGACCAAATTTGCATTAGCAAAGGCATACAATGTTCCACAAGAGGGCAAGGTAAAAAAGGGCCGTCCCCATCCTGTCCATTAACTTCAAAATGCTTCAATTATGCTGCCCAATCACGCTGAATATAACTGGAATAAACGCAGAGGGGAGCAGTAACGCTCATAACCAGTTCCATTCACTTTTCCTCTTACTGCTCCATTTCACAACCTAACCTCAAAATCAAGTTTGTTTCCTATACTAGCTGCTCATGCAACTACCTAAAACCTTGTTTTCAGTAGAGAATTCAACTGTATATAACCTGTTTTTCATTTGCAAACAGCCAGACGTTACCACCAAGAAAAGCTATCTAGGGACCTAAAATTTCCAAGAACCCCCTCTATTTAATCCAAATAAATCTACCTTAGAAAGCAAGATCTTAAAAACTATTTCAAAGAACCACTCTTTCCTAACCCAAATCTCTCCAAGGAGAAAGCTATGTATGGCAACTCGCCGGCCCTTTGGACATATTGTGATTTTAACCTACTGAGCCTTTACGGTTGGGGGAGGGGTGGGACTTCGTAAACACGCAGACGGTTAAATAAGGAGGTCACAGTGGTATATACGAAGCCGAGTTTCGCACGGTTAGCAAAAACGAGGTGAAAAACGGGAGGAAAGGGGTGCAGGGCGTTCGGGGAAGCCGAGGGTGGGAGGAAGGGGGGCTGACGGCTCGCAGGCAGGGGGCGTGGGGCGCGGAGGGCGTGCGGGCGAGGAGGGCCTTGCGCCAGCGCCATTTTCTCCTCGCACCACGCTCCTTCGCCCCGCAGCCCAGGCGTGTGGCCCGGGACGGCAGCCGTGCCTCCGTCGAAGCCCTGGTGCGGTCTCCCGGGCCCGTCGAGCCCGCGGGCCAGGTGGGGCCGGCGGACACCGCGCGACTCAGGCCCCGCCCGTCACCGGAGCACCGCCGCATTGTCCAAGGGGCGCGCGGCCACCGACCCGCCCGCGCTACCCGCCCACCGCTCCGGCTCGGCCCCCGGGCGACCGCCACGCGGGGCCACAGCGCGAGGGCGCGAGAATTGGGCTCGGGGAAGCCGAGCAGAGAAGGCGGAGGCCGCTCAGGGCCGCCATTTCTCGCGGCTGTGGCGGGCGAGGGGAGCGGAGAGCCGCGGCGGCCCGGCGGGGAGACTCGGGATCGGCTTAGCTTGGCCCGGGCCTCGAAGAACGGGCCTAGGGCCCCGCGCACTCACGCTCCGCTACTGCAGTCCAACAGCCTCCAGCTCCCTCGCTCCGGACTGACAGAGAAGCGGAAGTGATGGCAGCCTAGAGGCGCTGGCCCCGCCCCAATAGCACAACGGACACGTGATGGGGCGTGGCCTCACCGCCTTACCAGACCGCCGACCCTTTCCAGGGCCTTAAAGGGACAGTCGCACATCCTTTGAATGGATTCTTCTAAAACCAACATGCCACCAAAGTGAGATGTCACGACATTGAGCCCGACCTGAAAGGAAAGGAGGTGCGAATGAAACATGAAGGACAAGCACGAAGCCTTGTACTTCCTCATTGAATGTTCTACTGAAATGAAGGGGCTATTCTGAGCAAGATCAACATGCTGACGCAAGAAAACTTGCAGATAGATATCCTTAGCCACATAACCTTTACACCTAAAGCGAAGTGCTGGGGATGTAGCTGTAGTTTGAATATGAAACCTTCCCTCTGGGCTCATGTGCTGGGAACATGATTGCCAGCTGATGGTGTTTTCAGAAGTGACTGGATCCTCACCTAATCAATGAATTAATGCTTTGATATAGTCATACGATTGAATTAATGAGGTGATGAAGAGTAGGAAGTAGAGCCTAGAGAAGGTCATTTGGGGTGTGTTCTTGGGAGCTCTCTCTTGCCCTATAGTACCTTTCTCTGCCTCCTGTTTGCCAAGAGGAGAAAGCTTGCCTTGACAAGAAAAACTGGAGCCAGAGACTCTGGAACCAAACTGATCCATAAAAAAAACTTCACCCCCTCAAGCTGTATACACCAGGTGTTTTGTCACAGTAATGCAGTGTCTAACACAGAAGTTCACAGAAGAAAAAAAAAATCGTTCTACAAGCAAGACTACAAGCAGATTATTTGAAATAGGTTATTTGGTGGTTTCCTACTATAACCAACAATAAATACAAAGATTGTCAAGCACAAACTTTATGCCCCATACTACACGATGAATTTCAATATGTTGACCATCCTAACCAGCACTTCCCAATGTTGTAATGATCACTGTCTCCATGTTATAGGAAAAACAGTCAACACAGCTACATAAATAACAAGTGATTCAAACCTGGGACTGCTACCTGTCCAGGGAGAAAGGAAAAGCTCTAGCCCACTCCTGCTGTCTGCAACATCCAGCTTGATTAGCACTTTAAAACACGAAGCAATGTAGAATTCCTTGTACGTGAAACTCTAAATATAGGCAAAAGCTACCTATGGGGACAGACATCAGGTTGCCCTGGAGGGTGTCACTGGGGGCAAGTATGGTAGAAACTGCTGTGGGGCAGAAAATACCTTGGAGCAGGCTGTGATTACACAGGAATTCATAAAGTAAAAGTTTCACTTAAAATTTGTGCTTTTTACAGTGTATAAGGTATACTTCAATAAGAAAAGTTAAAGTAAAAAAAAAATCATATTAAAACTGAATTGTAAGGTGGGCACAGAGGCCTGAAATTACAGCAACTACAGAGGCTAGAGGGAGAAGGTTACTCAAGGACAGCCTGATCTTAGTCAAAAGCCACATAGAACAGTTTCCCTGTATTTTCTTTAAACTACTTTTCTTCACGTTAAATTTTACAGCAATTTATAGAACTAAAAACAAAGGTCAGCATTTTGGATTCTGTAAAGCTAAGGAAAGATTATTTAGCAGTTTAACAAAACATTTGTTTAGAATTTAGAATGTGAGGCAGAAGGAAGGAAGTATCAAAGTTAGAAAGGGGCAGAAAGGCAAACGGAGGGAGAAGATAAGGACAACTCCACAGGATGACAGCCCAGAGGTGTCAGAGAAAGCAAGGTCAGAGTGGTAGATGAAAACCTGAGGGAGCCGAGTATTAGAGTCTTCTGCATATGTAGTTAACCTGCTCCTGTGGTTCCCACCCACTCCACTCTCAGGGAAGAAAATAGAATGGACAAAATGGAATTTGTGAAAAGAGTGAAAGGCAAAGAAACAGAAGACTGAGTCATAGTGTTAACATTGTATGAGTATCCCTCTCTGAATCGTTTTAGAACTACTTGACTTTCTCAGAGGATAACTGCAGACAAAAATGCAAATAAATTCTTTAAAATGTATTTTGTCAAGCTTCTAATAGTGAAATAAAAACAGTGATAGGACTGGGGAGATGCTCACTGAATAAAGTGCTTTCTATACAAACCTAAGGATCTCAGTTGCATCCCCAGAACCACATGGAAGCTGGATGTGAGAGCTCATGTTTATAATCCAGCCCTGGGGGACCAAGTGAGGAGTAGCTGGGTCAATCCCTGGGGTTTCATGGCCAGCCAGTCTTAACTGAATGAGCACATCAAGTTCAATAAGAGACCCTGTCTCAAATAAGATAGAGAGGAATAGAAGATACCCAGTGTCGACCTCTAGCCTCTATAGGCACACACACACCCCACTTTAAATATTTAACACTGACACTGCACACTGTCTCAGGATCCTGCACACCTCAAAACCTCTAATACAAAGAAATCATGATACCAAGAACACTTAACATGGTGCCTCTCTCTGTCTCCTTTAACAAAAGTTTTCACTCAAGTGCTGTCTCTGAGGGAATATGCCAGCTTTATGTTTAAGCTTCAGTTCTCAGAGTCTCTGGACATGAAGAACTGTTAAGGACATGTACTTTTAGAATGATGCTTTGCCTGTAAGTTTAGTTGACTCAGGTTGACTCAGTTTTCTTGGATGTGATATTCTTTGACACTCTTAGCAATCCTTGATCTTAAATGAAGTCCATTAAATTAAAGGACATGTAAGTTTTTTAAAAATTACTTAACATAAGCAGGGTGTGGTGGTGCACGCCTTTAACCCCAGCACTCGAGAGGCAGAGGTAGGCAGATTCTGTGAATTCAAGGCCAACCTGGTCTACATAGCGAGTTCTAGGCCAGCTGGGGCTACAGGGAAATCCTGTCTCAAAAAGACCAAAGGGAAAAAAAATTCCTAAACTTAAATGGAAATTTAAGCAAAATAGGACAGCAGTTACTTTAAATTGTAGAAGGCAGCATGTTTCACATGCATTTGTATAGGGTAAATTGAAAAATAGTCTTAGTTTATTTCCCATTGTTGTGATAAAAATGACCTGACAAAAGCAACCCAAGGGAGAAAGGGTTTGAGCTCACAGTTCAAGAGAAATAGTCCATTGTGGCCAGAAAGTCAAGGCAGCAGCTTAACACAGTGGTCACATCACATCCACAATCAGGAAGGAGAGAGGGATGAATGCTGCTGCTCAGCTCACTTTCTCCTTTTTGTACAGTCTAGGATCCCAACCTAGGGAATGGTGCCACCCACAGTGAGCAACTCTTCCCACCTCAAGTAACATAATCCCCCACAGACAGACCTAGAGACCCATCTCTGAGGTCATTCTAGATCTCACCAAATTGACATGCAAGGGTAACCATTATAGCCCCTTTTCAAGAAGATTCCTAAAAGACATCTCTAGCTATGAAAAGATCTCCACTCCTTACTCCAGGACCTGATCCAGAAGATACGAATGATTAGGAAAGAAAGGCAAGTAAATGAACTGAGTTTGGAGAACCAACAAATATTTGAGGAAGGAGGCCATTTTACCAGCAGGAATGAGAAGAGAGTAAGTAAAGGAAATAGCTGAGAAACTGTGAAAGGACCAGAGCTTGAGGAGGAGACAGCCAGAGCAAAGTGCCTGGGGCTGCTGTGCCGGGGGAGTGTTAAGTGTGTCCCTGGATAACACCCTCCAATATGTACTTTCTCTAGAATTTTATAAATAGTTATTCAAATAGCAGGCTGTTTTGAAATGTTACCCAGTGTGGCTCCTGGACCCAGCACTTCTTGCTTATGCAGGCTAGAAAGACAGGGAAAATTATGGGACCATGGGAAGAGAAAGGAACCCGCTACCCCTGCTGACTGAGAATCAAGAAAATAATACAAGATAATGAACCATGTCTACAGTCTAAACCTGCCTTAACCTCCTGGTAACCTGTTAGCAAGAATTCCTTTGAGAAGAAGCAGGGGTCAGCAGGCATGGGAAAGGGAGGGTAATAGGGGGTGGATATGATCATAGTACCTTTCATGCATGTATGAAATTGTCAGACATGAAAAAAGAATTCCTGCAGCTGGGGATGGTGGCACATACCTTTAATCCCAGCACTCGGGAGGCAGAGGCAGGTGGATCTCTGTGAGTTCAAGGCCAGTCTGGTCTACATAGTGAGTTCCAGGCCGGCTGGGGCTACAGAGAGACCCTGTCTCGAAAAGACAAAAAAAAAAAAAAATCCCTTTAGACTATTTTGCCCTATGTTTTTATTTTATTTTATCTTATCAGTCTATATACTTGTACAATGTACTTTCCAAACCACCTTACAAATATCACCCATTAAAGAGAAGTTCTTCAGATCCTATATAAGAGTTCTAAGCCAGTTTTAGGTTATTTTTCATTGAGGTTTCTCCTAGATGGTGTGTAGTTCATGCACTAAAAAATTTGCTTTTTTTTCTTGCTTAAAAAATGTTCTTCTTGGAGCTGGAGAGATGGATGAGTGCTTAACAGAGCACTTGCTGGTCTTGCTGAAGACCTGGGTTTAGCACCTAGGACCAACATGGTGGCTCATAACCACCTGTAACTCCAGCTTCATGGTATCTGGCACCTTCTTCTGGCCTTAATGAGCACCAGGCATATATATGGTGCACATACATGCACAAAGGCAAACACTCATACACATAAAAATAAACAAGTTGCTGGGTATCTGGCCCACACCTTTGATCCCAGCACTGGAGATGGAAAAGAAGGTAAATCTCCATGGGTTCCAGGCCAGCCTGGTCTACATAGGGAGTTCCAGGTCAGCTGGGGCTACATAGTGAGACCCTGACAAAAAAAAAAAAAAAAGATAGTGGCCCAGGTTCCAGGGGTGGTCACCTCCATTAGTTCCTAGATGGGCTCTTTGACTGGATCTAGGATCCTTAATATTAGATTTAATTAACAAGAAAAAAGTCCAGTTTTATTAAATATACTAGAGTAGTAAATTCTAAGGATGTGGTGGGGAGACACAGAAGCTAGCAGCAGAGAATTTGCTTATTCAAGTTCATTGCAAGCCCAATTTCTAGTCTCTAGGGGATCAA